TCCTACTGCTATTAGAGTTCAAAGTAATGGAGTCTGAATTTCCAGCAGTATCACATGGTTTCAATTTCGACTTCTTACCTATGCCTTAGAGAGCACACAGCTTTACTGGGGAGGGTATCCCCTAGTAGACTTTCACGACACAGAGAGGTAAGGGCAAAATGATACACCAGTTACTTACACCACTTAAGTATATCAGATAATTACACCCCAAAGAGTAAATCCAGTGGGGCATTGTAGGCACCATGGAGACTACTAGAAGAGACTTTTGGGATAGGCAGGCTTTTCAATGCCCATTCCCAGCAGGGACCTGGGCACTGGGCTTACCCATGTGATCACCTTCCTATGCCCCTCCCAATCTTGTCTTCTTTCCAGGGTGAAGTTGTGGATTATAAAACTAATGGGCCATGTGATTAAAGCACTTTCCTGACTGTGACTTCAATGTTTATTCTTTTGTCTTCTGTGTAAGCATTTCCTGAGCTGGGTCCTGTTTCATTTCACGTGCCCATCGCATGTGGTCTTCAGGACCCCCACCTCAGGCAAAATTCCTATGGAAGTACTGACAAATGAGAAAAGGTCTGGGCTCAACCAGGTCAACTTTGTCCCTGGTGTCAAGTGGCCCTTCTTCCCCCGGTGACAAGGTTCTGCAGAGCACTGGCAGGCTGGATATTCCCTTGACTGTCTTGGAAGGTGCTCTGTAGCATGGGGCTCAGGCCCTGCACAAAGCTCAGGGTAGAATTTGAGAGCACAGTGAAGGAAAATGCAAAGATGCATGGGAATTACAAAGACACCTTTCTCATGAACCCCAGTGTCTTGGAGAGACTTTGGAGAGAGTTCCTGATATAAACCTTCAGTTAAAGAGACAGGTGACACATTCCATTGGCTGGCACTTATCAGTAGCTCTGGTAAGAAAATCAGAGGAAACTGTCAGAAAATGGCAGTATCATGATTCAGTCACAATCTGAATGAAAAAGATACAGTGGTGACCCACGCATGACCTTAGCCAGCCTGTCTGCACTCTCCTCCCTCCGCTACTGCTAGACAAATGGGACCAAAGCCGAAGTCTGAGGTGAGAGCAAGTGGAAGGAGGCTCTGGTGATGCAAAGACCCACCCGCGAAGGTGTGTGTGAGCAACACGGGCTGTGCAAACCCTGTGATGCTGCCCAGCAGTCTACCCAACTCAGGCAACCATTACAACTATGTGGCCTTAGCAGGGACAGCTCTGGCTGCTCTTTTCATTCTTCATCTCTGTTTTCCTACCCAATAATGACATTTATACAAATTCACATTTTCCCTAACTACCTCATCTTCTTATAACTCTTGGCTCTTTGGGGCTTTGCATGATGTATCGAAAATAGCATCCTTGCGGTGACTTCAGGCGAGGCCGGGGGCAAGAACCAGATCTACCCTTCCCCAGTTGTGTGGCATTAAACAGACATCTTGCTCCCTCTGAGGTTCTGTTTTCTGAAATACCAGGTGGATATGATAATCCTTACTGTGTGAATCGGTTGTTTTAATTAGAGATAAAGATTGTACAGCCCACACATCCTCAAACATAAGAAATCCCCATCATTGGTGACCATTTGTACATTTCTTCATTTTTCTCTCATCTTACCTTCTTAAATTTTCTCCCTTTATTATCTATTATGTATAGTACAGAGTAGAATTTATGGCAAGAAGGCATCCTCCACATTCTTTTCGTATTGATTTAAATCCACCTGCAACCACAATTTATAATATGTCATAGCTTCTACTAACTTTGGCTACTAGTTAGCAGTAGCCAATAAAGTAAGTGAATCAATCTACATTTTTTAAAAATTGAAAACAAAAATATTTATAACTGTCTTTGGTACACCTTTTCATTTATTAGACTGCCAAAGTTGAAGTACAATGATAATTCCTAGTGCTGGGAAATGGGCACTCAATCCCACAGTGTTCTTGGGAGTATAAATTGGTACAATCATGATACATTGCAGAAGTAAATGTGGCAAAAGCCTTAAAAATATGTGAACTCTCTGCTCTGACAATGGCTCCTCAAGGAATTTATCCTGAAGGTATAATCAGTTATGTTCACAAAGATCTACATGCGAAAATGTTCTTGCAGCACTATTTGTAATAGTAAAAATTGGAAACAATCTAAATGTCCAAAGAGGAGATTTGTTAATCGGAGTATCTATATAATGGAATACTCCATTGTTAATAAAAATTAAAACGATGGCATGAAGTCATATTTATTGACATGGAAAATTCACACCTTTTTTTGCATGTGACAAATACAGGTTGTAAAACAGTATCACAGAGTGAGGAATCTCATCCATACATACACCCCATATTCAGCTGATAAAAGATAAAATCGCCTAACATTCCCAGACTCACAGATAGGTAAGGAGGAGGTGGCTTCTTCCCTTCTCCCCTTCTGTCCTTGGCCTTCCCATGGGGAATGTAGTGGCTCAGTGATGAGGGAGACCAGGAAAACGTTCCTACAGGTGTGTGTCCTGGGTGCTGGGTCTCAGATCCATGTGGCTACAGGGGTGCACGCTGCTCTCTCCTTTCCTGTTTCACGAGGTAAGCTCACCCACTTGGGGGCCCAGGAAGCTTCTGTCCCTGCAGTCATGGTGTAAGCTGGGGTCACATCTCTACGGGGCTGTCTGGGTGAATAAGTGCTCCTTAGAGCCTTCTCTGCCCCCAACAAGCAGTGCCTGGTCTGGAGATGGAGGCCAAAGGGTAAGGGGGTCCATGCCGCATTCTCGGAGCCAGTTTACCAGAGGAAAGCAGACACTGCATGCACCTGCGCGTTGTCCTCCTGCATCTACCTCCACTAATTCAGAATCCATGAGAGAAAGAGGATTCATGAGAACCTTCCAGCTCAGACATATGGGTAGTATGCTCCCATTCTGTCTTTGTGAATAGGTACATGGAAAAAAGTCTGGAAGGATTCACACCTGAATGTTAAAGTAATCTCTATCCAGGTGGTGAGATTAGCTGTGTGTATGAATTTTCTAAGCAACTATGTTACTACATAATTATTACAATTATTCTGTTTACACTGTTAAAATAGAAATAAAATTTCCCTTTGAGCTTGTTTCCCATTACAGCACAGATTATGGACGTTTCATGCTGGGATGAAAGCTGTGTGCAAGGACACTAGTGTTTACCAGACAACTGCTATGTCCCAGGCATGGTACAAGGAATTCAGACTACAGCTTTCCTTCAGGTCTCCTATCAGTCTTACGAGTTCAGGATTTTTCTGAAAATTCTTCAGACAGTGAAATTGAGACTGTAGGAACTGAACAACTTGCACAAGGTCCCATAAATTGTAAGTGATAGAGTCAAGCCCTCACTCCCAATATGGCTGCTCCCAAATCCACACCCTTCCCATTTAAATACTTAAGACAGTTAAGAAAAAAAGGTATGTACAAAGGCAATGGGATAGCCCACCTGATATCACAGAATGCACAGACTAAAGGAATTCCCGTAGTCAGAAAAAACAAACTCCCATTTTTCCTACAATTCTACCAAACCCAATCCTTAGAAAACTAGAAGCAACACAATATAAAATGGGTAGGGTGGTTTCTGGAGACAGGAACCTTGAGAATAGTGCTGAGAGTGGCACCTGCAGGCTGGACAGCAGGGGAGAGAGAAATGCAAATAAACAGAGGCATTGAATTGTGCGGGGAAGCACCTTGTGAAGATACTGGGAAAAGGGACACCAACTGGCTCCTCTGATCTAATCGGCCCTGCAAGCATAGCTGCATCCAAGGAAAGGACAGTAATTGATTTTCATAGTGATAATCCTGAGTCATCAAGAAAAGGTTACATTTTATGTTCAGAATTCTCTGTTTAGGAAGGCAAAGAAGCGTGTAATCCATTTGAAAAAGACTTTCATTTCAAATAGTTAAAAATTCTTTGAAAATATTCTTGGTGCTTAAAGGGATAAGTGACAGTTATCTGGAAAATTCACTTATGTGGAACAATATCTTCCCTGAAGATTCTAGATCAGCAAGGCAGCACGTTAGATTTAGTTAGGCATCTATCACTTTTCCTTGGTTGGTGTTTTATTGTCCATTTTTCTCCAGCTTCTCATAGTTCCCAGTTTCCAAGCACTGGAATGTAAACTTCTTGAGGCTAGAGATATGACACCTTTCCTTGAATACTCCACACCCTTGTGGCCTTTTTACTGCCATGAAACAAATGAGGGACTGACATTCACAAAAATGACCAACTCCCCGGGCAAAACCCTTTTGGATTTTGGTAAGCAATCCTAAAAGCTTTTTTTTCTTTTTTTTTTTTTTCTTTTTTTTTTTGCAAGCATATTAATTACTAATTCAACCATTCACTCTAAAAAAAATAGCCAGAAGAAAAATAAATAAATAGGGTTAGTCCATTTTCTTTTCCTAAAAGCAAACTACATTTTTTAAATGAGTAACTTACATTAAGACCTCCACTTCTCAGGTAACATCAATACCATGGACACACGGCATTGCCCTTGCCTGCTGCCCGGCCTCCCTGGCCTAATCCTTCTCTCTTATGCATGCTCTGCCCCAGACAGAACGCCTCACTCTTGGCTAAATGTGCTGAGATCCTTGGTGCTTTCTCACATTCCATTCCCTCCCCCAGGGGCAATGGCGGCATTCCCACCACCGTTCTCTGCCTAGCTCACGTGCTCTCTCTAAGGGCCACTGCTCTCAAGAAACTCTACATTCTCACACCTGTTGCAGGATGGGAGTTGTCATCATTTTCTTTTTGAAGACGTGGAGAAAACCGTGAGAGGCTACAGAACTCATTCCATGTCACGCCCCAGGTTTCAGAGCCAGGATCAGTATATAACCAGCCCTCTCTAGGCAGCGTTTCTCTCTACTGCACAGTCAGCAACTATAACTATAGCCCCCTTTTTGGCAAATACCCTGTCCTTGGTGTTCTAGGTTTGGGACAGCCCATCTGTCCCACTGTGGTTATCACCTGCATGACCCGTGCAGAGGGGCTGGGGCAGGTGTGAGCCTTACCTGGCGTGTTGAGCAGGCGGGACCTCCTGCAGTGATAGGCTACCTCTTGCTCACAGTGCTCTGAGCCATCGATCACGGCCTCTAGCTGCTCCATGCTGCCGCCGTAGTCCAAGGCCATGGCATAGGGCTTCTCTGGGATGGTGCCCTGCACGTGGGTCAGCTCTGTGTTGTTGTGCTGCACTGATGTCCATATCTTGTCCTCTGCCCAGACAACACAAACCAAAGCGGGAAATGTTAGAAGAAAGGTCAAAAGAGGTGCGTGCAAGCAGTGTGATGGATCATTCAACATGCTACAATTCATCACCACATAATTGCTTTACTTATGCCAAAAGCATGGCCAGAGAAATTGTGTTCCTCATAGAGCTCCACCCAGAGTTAGCATGGGAATTAATGTTAAGAGCTAAATTTGCAGAGCCCTTTTTCCACAGGCTTTATGCTAAGCATTTCACACCCATTATCTCACTTAAAACTGAGAATACTTCAATTGGAAAGAAGTCAATACTACCATGACAAAAATGAGAAAAATGTGAATAGGAGAGTTAAGCAGCTCACCCAAGATTACCTAGTAAGTAAATGACTCAGTGAGGATTTGAACTGAGGGTGTCTGACTCCAAAGCCTGCACTTCCAGCTACTAACACACACTTCCTTGCAAGAGAAACACAAGCTTAGATCACTTTCTCAGAGAACCATAAGTATCATGTTGAAAATAAGACCTACACATAGAAAGTATCTGCAAAATATACATCAACAATTTCGATCCACACTGTACATGTGTGTGATCCACTCTGTACAAGCTTGGGATCTACACTGCACATGAAATATATTTAATTGCAGCTCTTTATTTATTTTCCATATTACCTCTGTTTACCAAAAATATCTGGAATGTTTTACAGTAAAAAAAAATGCAGAGGTAAGAATCTTTAATTCCAAGTGGAAGGGCGTGTTTTGCCTAATACAGGAAAGAATGAAAGTTAAGGAGAGAAGAGAAGGATTTGAGTTTTAGAGCTAGACAAATCTGTATTAGAAACCTATTTCTGCCAATGACAGGATTGCACAAGTCATTTCACCTCTCTGAAGCTCAATTTTATAGTCAGTTAAAAAACAACAATGACAACTGAAACAAAACAGGTCAGCAATACCAGCAACACAGCAGTATTCGCAATACTGTGGCAGGGCTGTTCGTATGAAACAGCAACCAAACACATAAAGTTGTAAGGCACTGTCTGGGATGTATCAGACACTCTGTAATAATAACCTGGGTTAAAACATTTACTGCAATTGGACATGCAATTTAATTCTGAACATCCTCACAAATAAAGCAAAAGAGGAAATAGGAAGACTTGAAAAGCTTTTGTCATCTGAGAATCTCGCCCACATAATTACATCATTACTCTTCATAAACTCTCAGAGCTGAAAAGGAACCTAGCATAGAAATCATGAGGTTTCTTCCCTCTTCCACCCACTTAGTCTTACAAATGGGGAAACTAAAGTCCAGAAAGTAAATAAATGACTCAAGGCATATCTGTTAGGCAGTAATGATGAGCACATGTACTGAAAGTAACCACTGTTACTTAGCATTACTGAGAAGCAGGACCATGGCTGTTGGCATAATTTAGCTGAAGAAAGGAAAGCCCTGACCTCCTGGATGCCCTGTGTTAATCCTTTCTCTGCCACTAACTCTGTACATGACTTGGGGCAAGTCACTTCATCTCCTTGCACCTCAGTTTCAACACATTAGAAGAAGGAGGAGAAAGAGAAAGAGGGTTCGGTTTTAATTAACTCTTAAGAATTTCCCAACTCTAAAAAAAGAAATACATCTTGCAGCATAAAATTAAATTTTGCTCAAACATTCTGACTCATCTTAAGACCGTTTCCTAAAACCAGCTCATTGATAAAGCAAATGTCCCCAGTGTTTCATTGAGGAAGGATTACATTTTTTATAGTCGTAAAAAACAAACACACATAATCGGTGTGATTGGATTCTGACTTTTAAAATTAAAATAAGATATGATTTATACTGTTAAAGATAATATTACAGAGATAATTAGCCAAAAGCTCCAAAAGTGTTGGTACTAATATAGAAAAATGCTGATAAAATAACCAAAGAAAAGTTATCATTCAATAATGATATACTGTAGAGAGAGAAATAAAGATGGACAGCCTTGAAATGCCCAAGTTCCACATAAGAAGGAACATTCTGTGTAATCTATAATAATAGATGCTATGTTATTGCTCCATACTAGGACATTTTACACATATTATCTCCATAACTCACAACAACCCAGCACAGTAGACATCACTATATATGAATATATACATTTACTTGGCAGACAACACAAGTCCTAGCTGCAAACTCAAAATGAGGAGACGACTGCTTGAAACCTAGAGCCTCTTAGCTGGATTTCATCCCAAAGCTGCCCCAGGTCCTCTGATTATTTTTCTCCTGGGCAAAGTGTAAAGACTGAAAACAAGGAGGTAACTGAATATTATTTTTTCTCACTTTTCATCTTTTTTTTTTCCTCAGCTACATTGGCAGGTATGCAGATGAAGCCCCAACCCCTGATTATATATTAAACAGGCAAGGGTTAACACCACTGCAGGAAACTCAGTTTTGGTGACTGACATTTCTGATGCCTTACCTAGGGCAGGGAAGGTTGGTGCTAGCATGAGAAGGTCTATGTGAAGGTCAGCTCTGAAGGATTTTCAAACAAGTAAGATTCATTTTGAACAGTCTTTTAGGTGGATGGGGTGGAGATTCACTCCCAAGTGGGCCTTAGCTAAAATTGGACCCACAAGCTAAATGTCCAAGATAGTCAATTTAGTCAGTGGGACACAACTTGGGTTCTCAAGTCAGAAGATCTAGGTTTGTGTGGCAGCTCAGCACTTACTGGATAAGCAACCTGGGTCAAATTATTACTTCTGTAGTGGCCAGTTTCCTCATCATTAATATATATATATTGTCCTTTTTTGAGACTGGCCACACCACGCTCAGCCAGTGAGCACACTGGCCATCCCTATATAGGATCCGAACCCGTGGTGGGAGCGCTGCTGCACTCTCAGCGCTGCACTCTCCAGAGTGCGCCACGGGCTCGGCACCTCATCATTAATATTTTAAAAGCAGCAATCATACCAATGGTATCATCAGATATCCTGGCTTTAGAAAGAAGTCTATCTGTTTTGAAATCTGTGCTATGCTCCACATCTGCAGTGAAACATTGAACAGGTTGTATAATGGCTCTGAAGATTCCTCACTGGAAAACAAGGATATTAACATTAATCATTTCGTCCATGGTAATACTGTAATGATTCAGTGTCATGTTTTACAGAGAAACATAGATTGTCTGGCACTCAAAAGATTTAAGAATATATACATTAGCAGTTTTCTGAAACATCAGAGTGAGAACCTGGATTTTATTCCTTGGAGATTTGGGGGTGGAGAGACCATCTGGCAAAAGAGGTTAACGAGCATGATGGACTGCAAATTCTTGTAATATAGCTGCTGCTGTATATAATACATTATTACTACCTCGTTCATTCTCTTTTCACTGTGTAATATCCTCATGTGTCTGTTTGTGTCCCTTGCATTACCTGAATTTTTTTCAACAGCATTTGTTTTTTAGTACTCATGGACCCAGAAACCTGAACAAATATTGCCCTCTGATACTACCTTTTGCTACCCATTTTATTCTCTTACATGACTTTGACTCTATACCATCATATGATCCACAATTAAAAATATAGTCTCATTTCTCTAACTACTCAAAGGTATATGTGCATTGGCTTACCCAAGACCATTTCTCTCTGCTGAAGAGAAGACTGCATTTGGAGATTTTTGAACAGGCAGGAACTTATTCATCATTAGTTTAGGAGAGAAATAAGGCCACTTCACTAAACATCCTAGTTGGTGTAATGTAATATTTATTATATATTTAAAACATTTGCTTTTTAAAAGTAGCATTCAGCCCAATGTGCTGGCATGAGCATAAATAATCTCATGACCCAGAGCCACCCCAGCTATTGTGCCATCTTTATGTGTAAAGAAGTTACAAGACATGTACCATCAAATGGCATGTGTTATGAAATTCCAAAGCAGCACTTCAAAGATACAACCATGTCTTGTTGCGTAAGCCAGTAAAGCATTTCCCAAATTGAATTGCGATTTTTAGCTTTCAAGTCTATCTCTCCATAAAGCTGTGAGATCTTCCAGGATGTAAAATGTATTATTCATTCTTCTGTTCAAATATGTGCCCAGTTAGTGCTATGCTGGCCACCATTTCCAAGGAGGAAAATACAGTCTGTCTCCTCCAAAAGCTTATCATGTTTGGGGGAGAAAGTTGTATACACAGGAATGAGAAATGTCTCAAGCTGTTATAAGAACTCTGGAAATTGGGAGTAAGGGAGAGAGGCCCAGAGATCTGTTGGGGGCACGGTTATTGGTGGTGTGCGGGTGAGAGAAACCTGCCCAGTGGAAACTGCACTGATTTCCTTCAGAGCTGACAGGTTAAGTGGGGTCTTTCTTCCTTGGACTACCAGAACCCACCCTAGAACTGAGTACTTTAGAATTTGTCTAGTGAAACACTCTGTCAAGTGAAGGGATTAATTAATTACCACTATTTGTATTCTACCGGGTTCTTGGGTTTCCGCATTTCCAAAGCTGATCTTCTATGCATGTATTATGTAATAGTCTAAATTTAAAAGAAGTTTCAAGCTATAAGATCAAAATATGCACACACACACACACACTCACACACACGCACGCACAAACAATAACAATAAGAGAAAACAAAAAGAAGTTGTACAAAGAGCCAGTAGAGTAGTAATGGTGGGATATTCTGTGACATTCTGTATTCTCATAAATCTTCCCTGGTCATCACCCCAGGAAAGCTCTGGAGCTACGCTCCATCCTGGGTATCTAGGTGAACTACCTGCTTCCTCTGGCTCTCATTTCGGAAGCTATAAACTGTTTACATACAGAGCCACAATGGAATTTTCTTTATTTTTTTTTTCTGTCATTATATCTGATTGGTATTATTCTTGTGATCATTATTATTAATAATAGTAATTGCAGATGCTATAAGCTGTTCTATCCGTTACCATGGGAATCACCACTCAGAAGAAAGAACAAACAAAAGAAAAGTAAAAAAGGAGACAAGAAATAACTCTGATTAACAAGACTTCATTCTACACACATAGCTGTCTC